CACAGAGCCTCTTGATGACCTGTTCCTCCATCTGCCGACCAGGAGACAGTGGCATAAACAATTTACTTTAAAAAAAAAATTAATTTAGTCTCATTTTTTTTGTTTCACTTCAGTGCCTATTTTTGCAAAAGCTAAATCAAAATCAAACCAGACCACAAGATATTTTAAAAGGAGGGAACTTTTAAAAATAAATCTTTAAAAGCGCTGACATTAAATTGCTCCTTTGCAAATCTGATTTTTAGGAACAGAGGATAAAACACAAGTAGAGTACCTTTAAATGACTCATAATTACGCAAATGCATGTAAACTTGGATGTGCAATTAGGCAGCTCATTATGCTGCAAGGTAACTACTTGCCTAAAGACATGGCCACTCCCTCTGGCTCTCACTAGTTTCTCTAGTCCTAGGATCAGGATCCTTTTTAATAAAGACTTGGCTTTCAGGATTTGAAAATATGCACTAATGCTAGTGGGTCTTTCAGCCGATAGTAGAGGAAAAGTTGGAAAAAGAAATTTTCTTTTAAATTTGTGTTGTAGAGTTGATCATCTAATTTTGCAAAATCCCATTCTCCCCCTGAGAAAGGCAAACTGTACAATTAGAAAAATTATCATTAATCATAATAGTGTTCCATTACTTACAACTGAATTCAGTATGTATTTACTGTACATAACTTTTTTTTTTTTTTGTGGTGCTGGGGATTGAACCCAGGACCTTGTGCATAGGAGTCAAGCACTCTACCAACTGAACTATATCCCCAGCTCTACTTATATATAGCTATTTTTACCATGTATATTTATATATAGGTTCATCATCTCTTATCTACAATTCTCAAATTCTGAAATTTATTTTTGTAACTCACTGGTGGCAAAACCTGACCTTACCTGACCTGATCTGAATTATTAGGACTGAAACTTGAAACGAAATGGTGAGGCTCTTTCTAGCCTTTTTTTCCCCCAAACTAGTGGTGCAGTTATATGGGTTCTGCTGCAGACATGATGGTGAGTTTGACTGTGGACCACTGTCCCAGGTTTCACCCAATATTTTTGTATATGGCCCTGGGAACTGAACCTAGGGCCTTGGACATTCTAGGCAAGTGCTCTACCACTGAGCTGCATAAGTGTTGTATAATTCACATCTTGGGCAGCTGATAGTCTTGGTCTGATGGTATCTACTTCAAAATTGGTTCTTCTCCCTGAACGAGTTGGGACAGCAGATAAGAGGCTGCATTATAGCTGAGACCTTCCCAAAGTCACCTCGATAAGTATATATTCTTTTCATGTTTGGGGACCAAGCATTTCCAGTTAGATTGTTGATCAGATTATCATTGTTCCTTTCTAGCAATCTGATGAGTCACTTTTTAGTTTTTTACATTTATTCTCCTGTGACTTTAGGAAATTCTTATAAATTAAAAGTGGAAGGTCATTAACAGATAATAACTTTAAAGTAGAACAATCTCCCAGTTTTCTGAACCAAAATTCTTAAGGTACATTAAAATATAGATAAATAAGCAATAATCCGTTTTGGCTAATGGATAGAATATAGCAATTTGATGTCATATAGGAAATCTAGATTGATTGGTGGTTGACTTGGTGTGCTGGGGATCAAACCCAGGGCCTGATGGGTGCAAGGCATGCCTGTACCTCTCCACTGCATCCAGCCCAGAGAACCTGGAACATTTAATGTGGTAATTATAGTCCATCAGTGGTTAAAACAATGTTTTCCTCAATTTGTAAACAAAATTTAAGAAGTAAATTAAAATATTTCCAAGGATTAGTTGAGGTTTAACACACTATGGCTTTGTAGACAGCAAGGAGTTTTTGCACATTAATATGTGGTCAGTGTAAGCACATCAGAGTTAAGCCCTCCTTGTTGGTTAAGGTGACCACTGTTTTTGCAGCTTTATGGTAGGCCTCTGAGGAAAACTCTAGTGCAGATAAAACCTGCAGTTAATCCCAGTCTGAATCAGTAATTTCCACTTTGATATGTTGTTTTTCTCTCTGAAAAGGCATAAGGGAAATGTGATTAATAAAGCCAACCATTAGTTTTCATTTTGTTTTTGATGGAAATATTTCCTCCCATAAAATTTAATGGCTATGAATCTGATTTCAAAGATTAGTTATCATAACGAGACCTGTCTCCTGAGAGGCAGTTTAGAACAATTTCATTAAAATCAGGTAGCTAATCAAAAAGAATGGAACGTTATCAAAGAAGACTATATAAAAATAAATTCAGATCTGGTCTGATATTTTGTTACTCCTACCCCTCACCCTCAAAAGAAGTCAGTACACACAGTGCAGTCTTTTCATTTTCTTTGAAGCCCATGTTTATGACTGCTTTAAAGATGAAGCTGCAGTTGCCCTTTATATCTGTGGGTTCTGCATCTGCAGATCCAAAAACCACAGATTGAAAATATTCTAAAAATAATTATATCTGTACTGAACATGTACAGGTATTTGGGGGATTATTAACCTAGAAATGACTTTAAGTCCACAGGAGGATTTGTACAGATTATAAGCAAATATTATGTTAGTTTGTATGAGGAACTTGAGCATCTGTACATTCTGGCATCTGCTGTAGTTATGGCCATTCCTGAGAATACTGAGGGGGAAGTATTGTAGATAACTGGTGTCCCCTTGCATAGGAATCAGAATAGATCTAAATTCTACCAAAACACTTAAAAAAATACTTTTGCCAAAGAAAACCTTTTACATTTTAGTATCTTATATATATGAAATTCATATGTGCCCTGTATAATATGAATGGGTTTATTTGTTCAAATATATACTGAGCATCTACAGTTTGGCAGGTACTGTTCTAGGTGCTGGAAATCCAGCATTTAGCAAAGCAGACATAGTTTTCACTCCCCAAGAAGACTGTGTCTTGGATCATGATATTCTAGAAAAGTGATAATAGTGTGCTTTCATACTGTCTAAAAGAAAATCTTGCTGTTTTAGGTAGTAAGCATCATCTGGCAGAGCTTAGCTCTTACAGACTTATGACTGACTGACACCCCCCGTGGTGGCAAGTGTGTGCATGCATTTGTTCTCAGAGGCTGCCCAGTGACATTTCCAGCTTGCCTAAGTGTTCATTCAGACCTGAAGTCCTTTCAGACACACTTGCCTCTGCCTAAGTGCAGTCTCAGTTCATTGCTATACATGACTCTGTGATACACACGTGTCACACACAGGCACACACCGTTCTGCTGATTTCTTCTGTTCTCCACAAAGGTTAAGCTAGGTTTTGTATTCCTTCAGAGAGATCATAGTCACATGGCCAGTGTTCTGGTTTAGTAAGTGCTTTATATGTGGTAGCATTGGGTATAAATATTTGTTGACTTCAAGCTGCTATCCTAAAACTGCATAATATAGCAGGTCCTTTAAAAGTGTTGTGCGTTGGATTTTTAAAAATACTTTGTATTTCTTGAAGGTTTGTCTTTTATTGAGTCAAACCACTTAGTGTGTCAAATCTTGTTTTTTAAAAATGGTACAAATTGCACCAATATGAAACTTCTAAGACTCCTTTTATGCTCATTAAAACTTAGTATTCATGTTCATGGGCCCTATACCCTTTGTGGTGGAGGCAAAATAATATAATTAAATTAGCATGGCCATGTCTAATGTCTACTTTGTTAAATTGAAGAGAATGTTATCAGGGGCTGTTTTCCTTTAAGTCTTCCTCCTGCCTCTGTTCTCAACAAAGGTTAAGCTAGGTGTAATGATTTCCATTATGAACTGGGTTTTTTCCTGTGTGAATAATTGCTGCTGGGATGGGCAGGTAGGTCGTCAGTGGAAGTCCCTCTGGTCTGTGCCCAGCGTTCTCTTGGCAGCAGCGTGTCTGCTCCATGAGCCAGCAGACTTGCCTTGGAGTAAGCGTTGATCTTGAGGGTGGGCATTGCAGAAAAGATTTGTATCAACAAAGAGTACTCAACAATCACAGAGTTAATGGAAATAGTGGGATTACAAAATTAACTACTCATATGTTTTGTTAGTTGGTTATAAATTCTGTTCAGGCTTTAGTTCTTCAGCCTTTCATTGGGACAACTTGTGGGACCTGGCCACATTATGTTACATTTGAAGAATTTCATGTATGGAAAAAAGTTTTAATTAATTATTTTTAATTGACAAAAAAATAGTATATATTGTATGAATCATGTACAGCATGTTTTGAAATAGGGGTACTGTGCATTGTGTAATGAATGTATTAAACTAGTTAACATGCATTATCTCACACTTGTTTTTTTGTGATGAGAACACTTAAAGTCTCTTAAAGTCACAGCAGTTTCAGTAATACAATACATTGTTATTAACTGTAGTCTAGAATTTTAATTTTTTTTTCTAGTACTGAGGATCGAACCTAGGTCCTTGCGCATGCTAGACAAGTGCTCTACCACTGATCCACTTCACCAGCCCCTACCTCTTGATTTTATTTTGATTCAGGGTCTTGCTAAATTGCCCAGATTGGTCAAACTTGTGATCCTCCGAGCTGCAGCTTTCTGAGTTGCTAGGATTACAGGTTATCCCCACAGAGCTCCAGATTTTTAATTTTTAATGAATTAAATGAAGCAGGCTGTAAGAATGGAATATAATTAAGTAATAGTTAGTTGAAAAATCTTAAAAGAAGGTAATTCTCACTTGAGACTTTTATTTATTATGAGTGATAAATTTTTTTAAAAAACAATGATATACAAAATATATTTTTGCATAATTCTAGTACACCTTTGAGTGAGGGAGGTGATGGATGAATGGGTGGAGGTTATAAGTACCTGAATTATGGATCTGTATTTTGACAGTTCTAATGTAAGAATATCCATTAATATCTTTGATTCTCAGACTGAGATTTTTTTTTCCATTATATACTTGTTCATTACCTGTTGTTATTTTTCAGTTTTTCTGATATAAATAAGAATTTAAAATTGTATTTAAGGAAATGGTTGTAAAGTAACTAAGTCTGGACAGATGTGGCGAGAATGTGCACTTGCTAACCTTTAATAAACACCCACAGGTTTTGGGTCCTGCTCCGCGGTGGTGTTCCTTCTTAGACAACTTGACGGAAGAATTAGAAGAGAACCCAGAAAGCACAGTTTATGATGATTACAAATTTGTCACCAAGAAAGATCTTGAAAATTTAGGTAAAAAGAATTATAACATCTTTACGAAAATTTTCTCACTTTGCTTTAGTTTTGAACATTAAAGGTGCCTGGGTCAGGTTTATCTAATTTTCAAAATCTTCCCTCTCTATCAGATCGGATATTTAAAGTGTTATGAATTGCCAAATTTGTAATCTTTGCTTAGACAAAGTTTTAGGTAAATTCAGTCTCCAGATTTTTTTCTATATGTTAAAGGAGAAATGATTTTTTTGAACATACTAGCCATGTATAGAAAAATTACATCAAGAAGAGTGATTTTTTTTTCCAAATGCTAAGTTGCAAATAAGGTTTTGAAAATATTTGCCTATTATACAGTTAGTACTCACAACCCCACAGAGTAGGTATTATTATAATTCCATGTTATGGATAAGGAAGCTAAGCACAGGAAGATAAAAGGAACTCTGCAAAGGGTTCTGTGTTAATATACTTCAGAGTTGAGACTTAAACCCAGACCCCATGCTTTTTACCTCAGTTAGGCCAGTCTCTTGGGAGAGCATATTTATCCTGTTGCCCAGCAGTCCTTTGTAGGATAAAGAGGGTAGATTTTGCTAATCTTGTTCTGTTGTTGGCAGAGAACTACATAGCAAATTATTGAGAGTAGGAAAACTTAGAGGATCCCTTCTCCACAAGTCTGGGCAACTTCATTGCCCTTAGAACAATTAGATGAAAACAGCAGTTGAATATTAAAAGAATAGAGTCATGTAATAATTAGATTAATTGAGCAGTTCTTAAAGCATTATTTATAACTTGTATCTCATAGCAGTTAGTCCAGACAGAATCATTTTATACCAGTTAACACCAGAATAGTTATTTAACTTTTAATGTGTCTAAAAAGGAAGGAATAACATTCAGCCTTTGGTAAATGACTGAGGAATGAAATAGAGTGACATAGCATCTTCTACAGAAGTACCTTCGTAAGTATCTCCAACATAATTAATCTTTGTAATGTCCTGTGTCACACTCAGCTACACCCTTAAGTTGGAGGGGGAAAAGTCATTTTATTTTGTGGATTTTTTTTTCCTTTAAACTGTCTTCAGTATGTTTTGGGTACTTTTTCAGTCTTCACTATGTTTGAGTGAGGGAAGCGATTAGTTATAAGTTTAGATACATTTTGTTCAAATGTAACTTTATTGCCCATTTAAGAAAAACTATAGAAATAGATACATTAGTCAACAAAATAACAGTTATGCTAGAAAGCATGGCAGATGAGTTTGGTGAATGTTAGGTTAAGCAAAGTTCAATCAATGTGGAACATTATAAATCCTGGAGGAATTGGGAGGGGTATATGAAACATTCCTCAGTTTTTTTTCTTTAGAAGATCTCTCAGGACCAGTACTCTGTGGAACTATCTTTGGAAAATGCTGCTTCTGTCAGATTGTGTTTAGAAATATGAAAAGCTTTCTGCTGTTTTTTAATTTATGACCTTATTTGATACTGAAATAATCCTGGGCTATAATAGAATTTTTATACACTTAATGTAATAAAAGAAACAGATTATTTTGCTGTAACTTATAATAATAATTTGACAATCAGACCAATCATTCTGAGGAAAGATTAAGTATAATCATAATGGGTACAGAAATTTAGGTTGTTAACATGGTACATTTTGTCATAGTTCAGCCCTCTTTTTATAAGAATCCACTGTGAACTTCCAACTCCTGGGGTTTCATTAACCTAATGAATTCCAGGGAAAGAGTTCTCTGGCCAAGTCTTATGATGACTTTATGAAATCATCCTAAAAGGTTATTAAGTATTCCCTTTTTATATTTCTCTGTACTGCGTATTGTTTTGTACTGCCAGGTGACTTTGCCTAGTACCTGATTTTCAGAGGTGTGGGTATATGTTCCTAAAATTTTGAAATCAGAGTAATGTTTCTCTTAGAAATACAGTTACTTGTTATTATACAAAGTTACTTTTCTTGTAGGTATATCTCATATGGTCTGTCTTTGAGATAAATATTTTTATAACATTATTCTGTGTGAGTATTTACAATTAATAAATAATATCTGTGACATTTGCAGAGAGTCCTTATGTGCCCACCAGCACCACTACTCCAAGTGTAATCTATTAGGAAACCCTACAAAAGGTGTCATTTAAGGCAGGGTTTCCAGACACTGATTGGCAGTGAACCTTTTATGTGTCTATGATGAAGTGGGTATGTAATGTAGGTCTTAACAATATAAATAAATATATTTATAATATAAGTAAATAATGTAGGTCTTGGTGTGTATAAGTGTGTTTGATACGTGAACATACGTTTGTCCACTGTTCTTTCTTAGGGATACTTAATATCCTTTCTACATTTCTGTTGTGACAGTGTCCTTTGCTTTAGGAAATGATGGGAAATGATATTTCTCCTTTGCAGTACAAAGTTGCAACTTATCTGTTGATTACCAATATTCCTTTTTAAGTTAAATTAGCAGAATCCTAAAATCTGAGAATCACTAATATAAGGAACCCTGTTTGCCAATTTGTCACAGTTCATAAAGACCTTTTTTAAAAAAAAAAACATTGTTATGCTTAGTAAGATAGTTAAAATGATACTAATGAAGTAGATTAAATTTTCTCCATAGATGTTGAAAATTAATAATTCTGATTCCTAAATTTTACTCCAAAGTGAAATCATATTACAATCAAGTTGTTGTTCAGTTTTAATCAATGCTTCATAAAGACTTTCCCTCTTCTGATTAACTTTTCCCAGGACTTACACATCTCATTGGATCACCTTTTCTTCGGGCATATATGCATGGATTTTTCATGGATATAAGACTATATCATAAGGTAAATACAAAGCTACAATTGTTTTAGGGGCTAATGAGCAATCTGTAGCTGTTTCTTCTCTACGTGCACTTTCATAGAATATACTTAACGACTTGTAAGGACTATGTGTATCCTTTGGCATAGTAGTCCCAGCATATATGAAACATGTTGCTAAATACCATTCTTTCACTAATTTTTTTTCTCCCTTTGAAAAGGTGAAATCGATGGTAAATCCGTTTGCTTATGAAGAATATAGGAAAGATAAAATTCGACAGAAGATAGAAGAAACACGTGCACAGAGAGTCCAATTAAAGGTAAAGATTGTACATAACCATTGAATTTATTGGAGAGGAAAGCTAATTTCATTTTGTGTGTTCTTCCCAGGAAATCTGCCATCCTCTCCGGTGCTTTTTGATTGTCTTTAATTTACAAATTTTATTTATACTTTGGTATGTTTTGTTCACTATGAAGGTGGACACTCAGTCTTGCCATTATGAACTCTATGGGAAGGGAGTTGTCAGAAATAATATAAAATGCCCAATATTGTCACCCCTACTAAGAAAATCCCTTGGTGTTTTTCAGAACACTGCAGGTTCGCAGGCTGGATCATGGGAATTCTCATTAGGTTGTCAGGAAACAAACTACACCAGTTATATTGGTCAAGCGAATTTAATATAAATATTAATCAGGTGTTAGAGAACACTGAAGTGTGGATAGGAGAGGCAGTTACCACTTCAGAGCTGTGCAGCAGGGAAGAGGAGAGTCCTGTGGAAGGGAGACCCAAGCTTCTGCGGAAGGGCTGCCGGCTGGTCCCTTTGAGTATAATGAGGATGGACTCGACATATTGGGAATTACAAACGGGCATCCAGCACCATTGCTGGATCCACCTGCTGCTTCCATGGTACTGTGTGATGCCAGCCCTGGCAGGAGCTTTCTGTCTGGCTGCTCCTACCTTCCACTGACTCTGGTCACCATTGATTAAGTTCAGTCACCAAGTCATACAAATACTTATAACTGAACATTGGTAAAAATACCTATTTGTGTATGCATGTGTATATAAAATATGCATGTACCCTTACAGGATAACACTAGTGACTTGTTTGCTGAAATTACCTCAGTGTTTCTTTTTTCTTTTCCTCTGTTGTTTAAAATATGTGTATGTTTGTGTGTGGTGCTGGAGATCACGTCAAGGACCTTGCACATAGAAGGCAGGTGCTCTCCCTCTGGCTATATCCGCTACCCTCAAAAAGTTTAAGAGGGGTTCTTTTGCTCTGGCCTTTTATACTACTTGTCAGAGTTGTGTTTTGCCTGATGTGATGTGGAACATAAAACACTGAGTGCAAGAGGACAGTAGATATCCTGTAGCTACCAGAGAGTTGTCAGACTCACATCTAGAATTCCTTTTGAAATCTATCATGTGGAAACAGGAAACCATGCAGTGAGCATTATTAGCATTTTATCATTAGCAGTATTAGCATTTGAGTTAGAGGCTTCATTGCCAGACCTGCTGGCCTCCTGTTGATCAGGATGAGTCCTAGGCCCTCTATGGCTAATGTTGGTCAAATACAGCATCTCCCCGTTTATTTTTCACATGCTGGGAAAAGGCATATGGAGGGCACATGTTCCCAGTAGCCGTCGGAGGCTGCCATTTTTGTACCTCGTGGCCTACCTATAACATCCCTTGTGTCTGTGTTATTTCTTCTAGTGTAATTGATTTTAGAAATAAGAATTCACTATCTCCTGTTTGTGAAATTATACTTCTTACAGAACTACTAACCTTTTTTAAAGTGAAAATATAGATGTCTTTGCTTTTTCCCCCCTCTTTTCTAGAAATTGCCAAAAGTTAACAAAGAACTCGCTCTTAAATTGATAGAGGAAGAAGAAGAGAAACAAAAATCTACATGGAAAAAGAAAGTTAAGGTAAGATTTCATAAAGCTTAGGAAATATTGATAGGTTTTTTTCCCTATACTTTTCTTGATAGTAAGTTGTATCTTTTTGTTGTTGTTGTTTCTTTTTATGTTAAAAATGCATATAGTTTTTTTCTTTTTTCTTTTTTCTGCCTAGAACATGGTATATGCTCAATATGGGAAATTTGGAAGGTAGAATAATACTCAGGAGAAGGCTGCCGTGGTCTTCTATCCAGGGAAAGACATCATTAATATTTTAGTGAATTTCTTTCTTGTCCTCTCTTGAAATTATAAACTATAATAGCAAGCACTGTAATCAAAAATATAATAAAATATTTATCCTGGGTATATAAAATAACACAGGTGGTTCCCATTTTGTTAGAAATTCTTTGTAAATACTTTTAATAGCTGTATATTGTCTTATGTATGTCTTATAATTTACTTACTTTTATTGTTAAATATTCTGATAGTTTGTTTTTCTTTGTGCTTACTATACTTGTTTGTGATTCTGGAGGTAACCAGCTCTTACTTAACCTTGCGCTATTGTGTGTGCAGGCTGACATGTACCTGCTGCCTGTCTACCTGCCTTTTTCTGGTGTGAAGGTAGACACACATCAGTTGTACAATGAATGAGGGTTGGCACTTTGCCTAACTGACATTGTGCAGAAGTGAGAAGACTTTTCTAGTTTGTCCTGAGACATGAAGTCCTGTTTTCTCATGCATGTAGAGCAAGCAGGCAAGGCACAGGTGTGGCTGGGCAGTAGCCTGAGTTGTGGGAGCCTAGACCCGACCGCAATGGGCCAGCCGTGAGGAGCCCTGAGTAGGTATTTGTCTATTTATTCTGTTCTCTGGTTTTTAACTAGATAAGTGAATGCGAGATAATGGAGCTCTTATGCTTATTTTTGTTTCACTCTCCTCTTACCCAGTACACAGGGACTTCAATGACAGGGTCATTTCTGGGCATCTCGCTCACTGGTTGTGTGATATTGGGAGGTTCCTGCAGCTTCCCTGGGCCCCTGTTTTTCTATCTGTAACATGCAGGGATAGATGAGGGCATTCTGGGTGCTATGCTTTCTGCATGGATCAGGCTCACTACATCCTTGCCTCCCTCTCTTCCTTACTCTCCTAATTCTCCAAATACATCCCTTCATCCAGTTTGCTTCATTCTTTTAATATATTGTTTGAATCTTAATTTTACTTACTTCCTTAAGTAAACAGATGACTTTTATCTTCCTTTTTCATTACATGAATACTATATCAATATTGAAAGGAAAACTTACTAGTATTTAAATTTACAACTATGTACTGTGGCTGTACACCTTCCTAACCGGATATGTATACCTTGAAATGTCTAAAACATGAGCGTTTCCTGAAGCATCCACTTTGCTGCTGCTGTTACCCAGGCCTGAACATGACAGGGCCAGGTCCTTTCCAGCTTCCCTGTGTCATTTCACAAGCTGAGTGGAAGTGGGTTTTGTATATACATGTCCTAGAGCGTTGTTTTTATATATAAAAGATTTTGATGGATATTTATTTATTTATACGTGGTGCTGAGAATGGAACCCAGCACCTCACACATGCCCTCTAAGTGCTCTACCACTGAGCTCTACCAGTCTCAGCCCCTGTCCTGGAGCTTCTTCAGAGAGAACGTGGGGCTGCCTCTGCTGGGATGTGTGCGCTCCGCATGTGATTTGTGCTTAGGAGTCCTCACCCAGATGGAGTACTGCAGAAGGTTGGTCTTGCAGCGTGGTATGCTAGAGCTTTTTCACAAGACCCTGTGAAGATAAAAGTGAAGGAGAAATCATCACTCTTTCCCCCATTTTCTTTGGGAGGTTTTTTTTGAGGTTGGGAGCAACTGGAAAAGATTGAGAATTCATAGTAACTAGGAAGTAGAAATGAACTTGAATGCTTCATACACACAAAGTGATCTTCACAGTCAGTGGGGAAAACTGCCATAAAGTGAAGACATTAAAGATCACTCATGAACTAAGGAAGAATCCTTTCTTCTAACTGTAAAGAGTACTTGAAAGAATGGTTAACTCTCTCAGCAGATCATCAGTCTTGCTTTTGAACTGTGTGCTCTTCAAAACCCCAGGAACTCTGATATCTCCTGGTTGTAAGTGAGTATCTTGTGGGGATGTTCTGCTTTGTCTACAACTGAAATTTAATGGAGGCAGACAGTGAAGTGTGTTCCTGAATATCACCAACCCTGAAAACATGATAAAAGTCTAGTAAGATGATTACTGTACAATTGATGTTGAACCTGTGGTGGGAAGTGGCCCACCACATAGTGTCAATAAGGGCTGTCTGGACTTTGTCCAAACCTCTAAACTTGGTGTTGTGGATTCTAACTAAGAATTAATACATTGATTCTTTCAACAAATACACAGTGAGCTCTAGGTATGCATGAGCAGCTTCGAGAAGTGCAGGCATCTGTGATCGATTTTGTTTGTAAGGGTTTGATTTGGGTTCAAGCTGTGTCTTTCTGCAAAACTTTCCTTTTTGCCAGTTTTCTACTGTGCTGCAAAGTCTTGTGTAACTGCACCTTTTCTTGGATCTGCAGCAGCTCAGTCAAGGCAGTGTGTGAGTTCCCAGGCCATGTGTGCTCTGGCTAGGAGGACATTGTGGAAGAGGCGTCTTAGCCTTAGGAATTACTGAATACCACTGAGAGTTTATATTAAAGTAGTATCCACCTCTTTAGGAAAAAGGCATGTTTACATACAGACATTTGTATGTAACATTAGATCAGATAGTTTTAATGTCCTAAATATTATTTTTAATATACTATTTTTAAAGCTTCTTTGGTAACCAGTTTAAAAAAATTGTGTGTGTAGTTACATTTATACATAATACTTTAAAAACAAAACATTTCTCTGGGCTCTGTTAAGATCATTGGCTAATCAGAGTGCAGTGGCACACACCTGTAATCCCAGCAGCTCAGGAGGCTGAGGCAAGAGGATCACAAGTTCCAAGCCAGCCTCAGCAACTAAGTGAAACCCTATCTCTAAACAACACGTTTAAAAGGGCTGGGAATGTGGCTCTGTGATTAAGTGCCCCTCGTACAAAAAACAGAAAAAAAGATCATTGGCTGTCCATTGTCTCTTCCGCCTACCCTCCCTCCTTTCACCTCAACTTTTTACTGTTGGGCATTTTTTTTTTTTAGAGAGAGAGAGAGAATTTTTAATATTTATTTTTAGTTTTCGGTAGACACAATCAACATTTTTATTTGTATGTGGTGCTGAGGATCGAACCCAGCACCGTGCGCATGCCAGGCAAGCGCGCTACCGCTTGAGCCACATCCCCAGCCCGGCATTTTTTTTTTAAACAAACCTTTGCTCCCGGTAAAGGCACATTGTGATTTTAGTTTTGTCGGTGTTGGACATGTACACTGTTATAACTATATAAAATAGTATTTCCAGACAGGTAGATGGCAACTTTATTTCTCACATAATCTCTACCCTGGAGTTTGCAGTTGTTTCTCTCACATGCTTTGTTGTTATCACTGACCAACCACTAACTAGTTCTTTACCAGATATCTTCATCTCATCTCAAATCATCTCCATAGGTCGGATATTGTGTTAATTTTACCTTCCTAAAGAAGTTGCTTCTAGGGGCTGGGGCTGGGGCTCAGCGGTAGCACACTTGCCTGGCATGTGTGAGGCACTGGGTTTAATTCTCAGCACTGTGTATAAATAAATAAAGGTCCATCAACAAATTATATATATATACATACATACATATACATACATACATTTTTTTTTAAGAAGTTGCTTCTAGATCTTTTTGGACTGATCACCTGATCCTGGGATCTCCCTTCCCATTTTTCTGGGGATTCATACCACCTCACTCCGATGTTGGACAAGGAATTAGATGAAATTTGTTTTCTGAAGGAGTAGAGTTTCCAACCTGATGTTTTATATACCCCATACAAGGGGTCTCTCCAGGTGAGAGTGTAGTAAAGGTGATGTTAAAATGCAGTACTCAGCCCTAGTGGCAAAGTGCCCTTGCGTGCTGCTTCTCCCCAGGAAGTGACCAGAGAAGCTGCCCCTCTGAACAAGAGAGATAGCCTGGGAAGCAGCTAGGAAACCTGCAGGCAGTGAGCATGCTGGGCTGTGTGCCCACTCTGGGCTAGACTCTGGCCTGCATTATGGCTGCTTGGTAAGCCCTTCAGACTGGACACTTGGGCTTGTTGTGCCAGGGGATTTTCCTGAAAAAAATTCAAATAGTTTTTACTTTGTGACCTTTGTTTACTTTTTCATAGTGAAGAGTGAGGGAGTTAGCAGTATGAAAACTCAGAGGTGGGCAGGCCGAATGTCTGGCGAAGGCCCAGCATCAGTCAGTATCTTAAGTCTTCTCACAGCTGCTCAGGTCCCCCTGCTTGGAGGGTGGCTGTCCCTCTGGCAACTAGCATTCTGCAGGTGCTGAGCACTTGGGGGATACCATGATGGACAGGGCGATACCTCGGGCCTCGGGTGCTAACCTTTACATCCTTTCCTGTTGCTAGCACGCTTCCCTTGCCCTCACCAGTCCCTCTTCTCTGCCTTTTCCTCTGGGACAGGGGCGAGTGTTGAGGCAAGCATTCCTCTGTGTTACTCCAGTGAGACAGTGTTAATGGTAGCCACCCTGCTCAGATTGATAGATGCAGTTCTTTGGGCTTTGGTCTAAACACTGCTTTCAGATGTTTTTCACACGTTGCTGGTAGGTGTTGAGCATGTGTGTGTGTGTGTATTTATAGGGAGACCACTAGCCAGACACTTGTCTACTACTATAAAACATCGCTAACTATGCCTTTATCCTGCACCCCCCTGTTTTAAAAAGACAGCTGTGAAAACAATTAGACTAAGAAAAGTCCCTGAGGGAACTATTTTTATAGCTAGGTCAGGAGTTTTTTTATTTTATAATTGTTCATCTAAAGCATGCCTATCTTAGGCAATGCAATTTATTTTAAATTAAGAAAAGCATCTCAAGAATACCAGCAACAGGGGCTGGGGTTGTAGCTAAGCAGTAGAGTACTTAGAGTGCTTATCTTGTATGTGTAAGGAACTGGGTTCCAGCCTCAGCACCACATAAAAATAAGTAAATAAAATAAAGATATTGAGTTCTGCTACAACTAAAAAAAATTATTTAAAAAAAGTCAGCAACATTCTTTTTAACATTTTCTCTTTTTAAATGTGATTATTACTTTAGTAAATATTTTTACCATTGCTTTTTTTTTTTTTTAACTCAAAGTCAGGGACATGGCTATTGACTTGAGATTATCTGGATCTTTGGCAGTGTCGCCTTCCCACTGCCTGAGACACTGCCTGACACCTGATGAAGTCCTCCAGCGTCAGATGACTGTCTATTGTCGCATCCTCAACCAGTCTTAAGTGGAGCGTCAGTCCTTACCCTTCACTCGCCCATGCCCTTTTTCCAGTGCTCCTGTGGTGCTTCCTAACACAGTAGCACAGCTGTCTAGTCCAGTCGCAGCAGCGAGATGCTGGAGAGCCATTTCTAACCCTGCTTTTTGTGTGTGTGCCAGGGATTAAACCCAAGGGTGCTTACCTGAGCAACATCCCAGCCCTTTTTATTTTCTGTTTTGAGACAGGGTCTTGCTGAGTTGCCCGGGCTAGCTTTGAGCTTGTGATCCTCCTGCCTCAGCCTCCCATGTCACTGGGATTGCAGGCATGTGCCACTGCACCCAGCTTCTAAACCTGATTTGAACCCTTGACCCTCCTGTGTCGCCCATAGCTGTAGCTCTTAGTTCTGCACCTCAGAAATGTGCCTCAGTTAGTCTTTCCTGAACAGTGTCTGCCCACCTTTTATTTCCATCACCCTTGTTTAGACCCTGCCTCTTTTCCTGTTTCCTAGGGTGGCCTCTTGGTCTTCCTCACCAGCCCACCTTACATTCTTAGAGCACGGTTCTGTTTGTTGGCAAAGACCCCTGAAGAGCTCCTTCTCCTCGTCCTCTCCTTCTCTACAGTGGCTCCCCAAAACCTTTAGAATAACAGTCATGGTATTTAAAATCCTTGACCGTCTGCTTGGTCAGAAATGCCTGTTTAAATTACCCAGCTTCTGATGTCATCAGAGGACTTGCCACTCCCCAGTCTTTCTTCACGTTTCTGCCTTTTGAAACCCACTTGTCCCTCCAACCTCCTCCCAAATGCCGTGTCCCCTGGAGCCTTCCTGGGTGTCTCGTGGGTCACTCCACCTCTCTGAGCACCTTGTCTCTGCTGGACTTCCTCGTGTGGGGCCTTGTAGTACCCACCTTGTCGCAGGTTTTTTTTTTTTCCCTCACGAGATTGTGGTCAGGAACTAGATCTTTCCTGTGGTTTTTTTTCCTTTGCCCTCAGTTTGTTTTAGAAGCAGCTTGTAATCAGGGAAGACTTGTTGAAATCTCTCTCTCATGCATTTTTAGGTAAGGCCTTACCAGTTTTTAGGTATATACAAGCATTAAGCCACATTCCTTAATATCTTAAACATCTCCAGATGTTTGTGTAGATCTGTCACAAATAGTGTTCAGAACTCAGGTACAAAACAGTCGATAAAATAAAGCCCGTTCAGTGGAGCTGATTCCACCACAGGCTGCTTGGCCTCGTTCTACTTAAGGCTATTGGCTCTGGTTTGCCATCTGTCCTCAGTTGGTGATGCAACCTGGTTTCCAGGCCTGTGGCTTAAAGGTAAGGAATAGTAAGAGCCCCAGTCTGAGGTTGCTGTCATCTGTTTGGTGAACAGGTAAGTTTGTAATATGTTTTAGGAAACTTTCTGTTTAAAATGATACAAATAGGAGGTTATGTCAGCCCTGAGCTATCCATATGGGTCTCAATAGCCACAGTTATGGGGAATACACTGCATTCTTTGAGAACAATTCAGTGGCCCAGGGAAGAGATCCGGTGAAGTTATCCTGTAAGGACAGAAACCTCCTTGTTTTTCCAAGAAACTTACTGGAGTTCAGTAAATTTGTACTGCGCCCTGTCCTCACCCACTGTGTCATCTGAACTCATTGGCGTATTTCTACTTACAGAATATGAAGGTGGAAGACTCGAGTAGTTCAGTGTCGTAGCTGTGCCTTAGCCATGTCGTCCCCCAACCACCCCCCCAGATATATTTCTTTGTAAGGTGTTGTGTTTTGTTTTGCAGCGCTGGGGACTGAACTCAGGGCCTGATGTGTGCTAATTAACCCTCCATCACTGAACTCTACCCCAGGCCCTTTATAATTTGAAACAGGGTCTTAACTGAGGTTGCCTCAAACTTGTGACCCCCCGTGCCCCAGCTGCTGTCTGGAATACAGGTGGCACCACAGCCCCCAGCTGAAAGTGCTTCTTGGCACTAGAAATATTAATTGAAGAAAATTCTTTCTGATGTATTGAGCATGAAGTTAACCAAAAGAGTTTATTCTTAGCTCGTTATGTATAATGGCCAAGTACCATAGATCAGTCGCCAAGTAGATCAATTTGAATGTGTTTTGTTGGTAGGAGATAAAACCTAGAGTCAATTAGAAAGTTCACTTTACAACAGAATGAATTGTAAGCCATCTTTCTGGTCGGGTTTTATTTAGATTTTAACTTAGATTTTTACATACTTTTTTCTGTTTTTCTTATAGAACCTTCCTAGTATTCTCACCGATGACCGATTTAAAGTTATGTTTGAGAACCCTGACTTCCAAGTAGATGAAGAAAGTGAAGAATTTAGGCTTTTGAATCCACTTGTTTCAAAAATTAGTGAGAAAAGGAAGAAGAAACTAAGACTCTTAGAGGAACAAGAACTTCGTGAAAAAGTAAAGTACTCTTTGCTCCTGTTTCTTTTAATATAAAATTTTTCATGTAAATTAGGAATACTTGAGGTATCGTTAATTCCATCCTAGGGGCTTGGCTTTCAGCCTAGGAGTGTAGCTATTTAATTAAAGGTACTTGTGCAGTGTGCGTGATGGGGTGGTGTCTCGTACTGTAAAGAACTAATGCTATTTAAAAAAAAAAAAAATGGTGGGACAGGTATTTGGTTGGGGAAAAGGAACTCTCTGCTTACCATTTTTAATTTCAGGAAGAGGAGGAAGAACCAGAAGGAAAACCCAGCGATGCAGAGAGTTCCGACAGTTCAGATGATGAGAAAGACTGGGTGGAAGAAGTCAGGAGGCAGCGCAGACTCCTGCGGCAGGAGGGAAAGGGGACATGGCAGCACCAGGTCCAGGAGGACCAGCAGACAGTCCTGCAGCCCCAGTTCTATGAGATCAAAGCAGGGGAAGAGTTCAGAAGCTTCAAGGACTCAGCCACAAAGCAGAAGCTGATGAAGTGAGTAGTGTCACATGAGTGCCACCTGAGTGGCAGCCAGCCTGTGACACCCTTGCCTCCCTCACTGCTGACAGGCGGCCCTGGAGACGGCACGTCTCCTGGGGTGGTGGGACTGCAGGTCTGGGGCAGGGGTGAAGAGCCGGGCAGCCTGTGAGGAGATGAAGCCGCGGAAGCTGAGCTGGTCCCTGGCTAATTTGTTCATTTCACTTTTTGAAATGTAGTTACCACAGTAAAGCACAGGGCGGGCCCTGTGCATGTGGATGTGCACACCTGGGAGAGCACTTCAAGCTAGAAAGGCACACCCTCCTGTTGTCCTTTTCTCCCATCAGCTTCTCTAGCCTACAGATATTTTTGTCTTGTTCCAAGTTTTACAGACCCAAGGTTTGAAACCTTTGAAAATAGTAAATTAGAGGTAACTAATTATTTGCCTCTTAACACAAAGTTATTTTTAAAAACCAGAACCACAGTTATTTTTATCCCATCTCAGCTTTTTTGGTTATTGAAAAGTTCACTTGGAAAATTTGCTAGAAATTTTAGGCCTTTTTCAGGAAAATAGATTTAAAAAAAAAAAACAAAAAAACCCAGTATTCTAAAATAGTCAAATAAATAGCAGTGGAGAGCAGAGGGTGGCTGCCCAGGGCTGGAGGAGGAGTGTTGGGGGCTTCTGTGTCAGGACACAGCATTGCAGTCTGGGATACTGGAGGTGTTCTGGAAGCAGATGGAGGTGATGGCCGCACAGCAGAGGACTAATGCTACCAAACTGTCCCTTTGAGATGGTTAAAACAGTATGTTATAAATGTTTGTCATCATGGAAAAAAATCTAATTTCAAAAAGAAGTGGTAATTGTTTGAACAATTTTCAGTTGTCAATGTCTCAGCAAGGAGTAGGCTAGGTCCTCAAGTCCGTTGGAAAATCTCTAGGCAGAGCTTTGATAGACAAAGTTTGGTTGTGCTTGATGGTCACAGGACATGTCTTGAAAGAAGAGCTGAGCCGTCCTTCGAGAGGAATGGGTAGGGCAGGTGGGTGGTAGGTGAGGCCAGTACCATCTCTGTGCCTTGTACTTCTCCAGAGTCAGGTTTGCATTCAGAAGACGGTGAGGAGGTGAAGGTGGGGAGGACATGGTAGACGGGGCCGAGACATGCCTGTATCCTCTTCAGTTCCCCCAGCTTCTAGCACAATCGAGGACACCAGATGATAGGGTCCTTCCATTTAGATCCATAAGCTTCCCAGGATTCTGGTTCTGATTAACTGAAGACTTATTGGTGAGTGAAGAAGCTGGGAATATTCCTGACATCTTTCAAAGGTGTTTTGGGTTTTGTTTTGTTTTGTTTTTGTTTTTGTTTTTGTTTTTGTTCTTGCCTACCTGCCTCTGGTTTTTGAAGTAACTTTTTGGAGGTGTAATTTATATTTCATACACTTCACCTGCTTAACACATGCAGCTCATGGGTTTTTAGCGACTGTCACCACAATGGTAGAACACTGTCATCATCCCAGAAAGAAACCCCGTGCCTTCACTCTCCCCTCTCCCAGACCTAGGGAACCACTAACCTGCTTTCCTGTTTTCAGGGATCACCTATTCTGATATCTCCTAGAAGTGGAATTGTATAGATATGTAGCATTTTGTGTCTGGCTTCTTCCTCTTAGCATAGAGTTTGTATGTCCATCATGTCATAGTGTGTATTTTTATGATCAAGTAACATCCTAGTGTATGGATAAATCACATTTTATTTATCAATTGACGAGCATCTGGCTTTTGCCCACTTTTTGGTTGTGAACACATGGGTATACTTTTGCCTGGCCATATGTTCTTATTTATCCTGGGTTTATACCTAGAATGGAATTGCAGGTCGTGTAGCAATAGTTCAGCCTTCTGAGAGACTGCCAAGTGGTTGTGCAGAGAGCTGTGCCATTTTATGTTGTCGCCAGCAGTTGTGCAGCCTCACTGGGAATGCTGTTATTCTTAGGCGTTTTATGTAGAGTCTCCTCAGAAACAGGGGAGGTCTTCTGTTTCTGGTGGGTCTGTGGAGTGAGTTGTTAGGTTATATGATATTTTTGTTTCGCTTCATTTATTCCTTTGTTTCTAGCTCCTGTTTTAGTACTTAGAATAGACACTTGATAAATACTCATTGAAAGGGTGGCTCTTCTGTGTCCTGAGTACCTGTCAGCCAACTCGGGAACTCTCCCAGTCAAGATCTGCTGAAAAATAGCTCGTTTCCCTGATATCTCACAAAGCATAGCCATGGTACTGGTATTTGGGATGATATCTCACAGAGCATAGCCATGGTACTGGTATTTGGG